AAAAAAAAAAAACAAAAAGATCTTTGAAGGAAATGAAATAACAGCCAACTTGTGAGATTATAATAGAGAAGCTATGGTTGTGTTGGTTTGATACGTTAGCTTTGGAAGGTAGGGAGGGACCTCCATGAGTGAGAATGTTGTCATTGATCATTTCTGTTTCCATTATCTAACTTATCTTAAACACTCAGGAGCTGCTCAGGTTTGATGTATACTGGGCAACAATACAGTCCTACATCCCTGGGATGAACAGTAAGGATTCCCCATAAACAAAGGCATAGATATGGTTCATCTTTATTTTTATAATGGATAAAAATTTTGAGACATGTGAAGTGTAATCATGAGTTTGGACATGAGTATTTTGGATTTGAGATTTCCTATTGATTTGGGCCACAGGTGTTGGTGATGTTTACGTGTCTGTTTAATGTCATTTAAAGATTCTTAAATTGCCTTGGATATTTGGCATGATCATTTTGCTGTTGTGCAGGCTGAGAGACCCAATATGTACCACCCAGAAGATCTATGGATCTGAAGGCAATTTTCAAGGAATAATGGAGGTGAGTTGCAGACAGGGAATAATTTTGCTTAACAGCCTAATTTAGTGGAAAGGAAGAATATCTGGTGTCATCATATAAGGAAAAATTTAATGCCTTATAAGAGGAGTAGTTTGAATCTTTTTGTTTCAATGATCCAGAAAGCCCCCAGATCTCAATTTGGTATTCATATGTTCGGGATGAGGGAGAAAAAGTAAAATATTTGTGTCTTACTAAATTTGACCAAAGAAAACAAAATCTTTGTCCATTTTTTCAGTGATAACTTACGTTAGCACTTAGCACTGTGATTTCATAATGATGAGTATCTCATTTGATTGCCCAACCAATCACTTCTCCCATCTTACAAATGAAGAAAGTTAAGCATGGAGCACAGGGTCTTACCCAAACTCATGCAACTCAGAATCATGGACTCTCTGGGCTTTGAAGTCCTAATGTGTGCCACCACCTGTACTGGGCACTACCCAAAAAGTTTTTGTTGTTGTTGAGACAGGGTCTTGCTCTGTCACCCAGGCTGGAATACAGTAGTGCAATCTTGGCTCAATTGCAACCTCCACTCCTGGGCTCAAGCGATCCTTCCACTTCAGCCTCCCAAGTAGCTGGGACCACAGGTGCACTCCAGCACACCTGACTTTTTTTTGTTCTTTTTTTCGTAGAGATGGGGTTTTGCCATGTTGCCCAGGCTGGTCTCAAAGTCTTGAGCTCAAGTGATCCATCTGCCTCAGCCTCCTAAAATGCTGGGATTACAGGCGTGAGCCATCATGCCCAGCCAAGAACTTTAAACTTAGAAGAACATTGCAAGGTTTGTATAATTATATACTTACACAATATTTATATTTTAAAACTTATTTTAAAATTTGTTTTGCAATGCTTATATACTTTTTCTGCCACATGGGATGGAGGTGAGAACAATTCACTCTTAAGAGCAAGTGGATGTAGCCCTATAATGAGGCTGTGTGTGTGTGTGTGTGTGTGTGCGTGTGTGAGAGAGAGAGAGAGAGAGAGAGAGAGAGAGAGAGAGTCAGAGAGCTCCAGCAATTCAATGTGTATTAAACTCTTGTATGTAACAAGTTCTTTTGTAGGTTTCATAGTGAGCAAACCTGAGCTAATAGTGTTCCCTTGAAGCTGACATTCTAGGAGACAAGAAATGAGATACAAACAAAATTACATGATGTGTCAGATGGTGGTTAGTCCTCAGGAGGGAAAGGAAGCTGGGGAACATTGCAGAGGGCTTGGGCTGTTGGTGTCTCTGGGTCTTTAATCATTGAGGGTTTGTAAGTTTGTGTGTCTGTGTCTGGGTTTGTCCACCTGTATGTGTGGTGATAAAGTCTGGTGATCTTTTTTTTTTTTTTTTTTTGAGATGGAGTTTCACTCTTGTTACCCAGGCTGGAGTGCAATGGTGTGATCTCGGCTCACCGCAACCTCCACCTCCTGGGTTCAGGCAATTCTCCTGCCTCAGCCTCCTGAGTAGCTGGGATTACAGGCATGCGCCACCATGCCCAGCTAATTTTTTGTATTTTTAGTAGAGACGGGGTTTCATCATGTTGACCAGGATGGTCTTGATTTCTTGACCTCGTGATCCACCTGCCTTGGCCTCCCAAAGTGCTGGGATTACAGGTGTGAGCCACCGCACCCGGCCCTAAGTCTGGTGATCTTGTATGTCTGTCTGGGGAGTTATGTATGTATGCCCTTTAATATCTGGAGTGCTTTCATTTCATTATCTTACCTAATTGCCCTGGTATCACCTTCTTTAATATGTTAAATAGAAGTGATGAAAGCAGACACTCTTGTTTTGTTCCTGATCTAAGATAAAAAGCATTCAATCTTTCACCATCAAGTATGATTTTAGCTATGAGTTTCTCATAGCTGCCTTATAGCAGGTTGAGAAAGTTCCTTCCTATTTGTACTCTATTGAGTGTTTTCATTGTAATGTGGTGTTGACCTTTGTCATATTCATTATCTGGCCAGGCATGAGCCACGCCTATAATTCCAACACCTTGGGAGGCTGAGGCAGGAGGATCACTTGAGGTCAGGAGTTTCAGATCAGCCTGGGCAATATAGCAAGACCTCATCTACAAAAAATTTAAAGATTAGTTGAGTGGGCTGGGTACGGTGGCTCACGCCTGTAATATCAGCACTTTGGGAGGCCTAGGTGGGTGGATCATGAGGTCAGGAGATCAACACCATCCTGGCCAACATGGGGAAACCCTGTCTCTACTAAAAATACAAAAATTAGCTGGGCATGGTGCTGCATGCCTATAATCCCAGCTACTCCAGAGGCTGAGGCAGGAGAATTGCTTGAACCAGGGAGTTGGAGGTTACCGTAGGCCAAGATCAAGCTACTGTACTTCAGCCTGGCAACAGAGTGAGACTCCATCTCAAAAAAAAAAAAAAAAAAAATTAGCTGAGTGTTGTGGTGCATGCCTGTAGCCTAGCTACTTGGGAAGCTGAGGTGGGAGGATCACTTGAGCTCAGGAGTTCAAGGTTGCAGTGAGCTATGATTATACTACTGTACTCCAGCCTGGGTGACAGAACAAGACCCTGTCTAAAAAAAAATAAAGTCATTTCCTGCACCTTTTGGGGTGATCCTATGATAATAGAGCCCTTATTCTGTTAATATGGTATATTAGTACATATTTATATGTGAAACCAACATTGCTTTTCTGAGTTCAGTCCAGCTTCGTCATGTTGAATAGGTCTTTTTATATATTGCTAGATTCAATTTGCTGGCATTTTGTTGGGCCTTTGCAGCTATATTCAGAAGAGATATTTGTGGACCATTTTCTACTATATAGTACAGCATTATCTAGTATAGGCTATAGTGTGTTTACATGTATATTTGTAGATATATTTGTGTATACAGTATGTAATATATTGCAAAATGTTATATAATTGTAGATATTATACATAACTGGTATATGTTATGTATAACTAAAATATATAATTACTATTATACTATATAATATAGTTTTATACTATTAAAGCATAGTTATATAGTCTTTGTCTCTTGTATAGGGTTTCAGATCCCTGCTAACCCACACATTATTCAAAGGAGCGAATCACATCCTCTCAGGGGAACCAAGGAGCACCTTACCCTTTTGATACTACAAAGCCTGGTTCCCACAGCCATGTTTGGGCCCTCTGCTCCCAAATGCATTTTCTTTGCGGATCTGCATGATTTATGGCACCCTCCTCATCTGGGTGAATATATATGACTAACAAACTGCTGTCAATTGGATTTGTCCAGTGATGGATATCATGTGTTGGGCTATCTAAATAGCCCTAGGGTGCTAATTCCCCTCTCACCAGTGGGGTGAGTGGGAGGCTATTGAAACAGCTGGTATCACAAAGAAGACAGACCAACCATAACTGAGGCCATCTTCTCTACTTTAGCCACTTTTGGCTAAAAGTGGTTAACTAATTGGTTCCATGATACAGGGAAGGCCATTTGGAACAGAACCACCACTTGCTGGTTGGTTTGCACTTTGGCCTGCACAGCACTTTTTGGTCTTTATTAGGTGTTGTCATCTCTTCCCATCCAAAAACATTCTCACCCCATAAACCACAATTGTTAATTGACTATGCACCACCAGCATACTTGTCCTCAGATTTGGCCTACGTTTGGCAGGCAGAGTCTGCATCACCTGCCTGTAAAAGCAGTGACAACATAGCACCTTAAGCAGTCAACACTTCAGTCCTGATTACCAAGGGTCAGGCTAGAGCTCTGTGGTTACTTCCTCTAGCTTGGTCTCCATCACTGGATTCTTGGAGTAGCCCAGGAGATATTGTTCATGATTGTACACCACCAGGTGAGACCCAGAGATGGTTCTTTGTGAACTCTGCAGAAAGGAAAGAGACCTCCACCTTCGGGATAATTAAGCATGACACCTCAGTTGCTTAAGAAGAGTTGTTGCATTGGTAAGGGTAGTGCCCTTGCTGGTTTCCTATCCTCTTGCTTCTCTTGTTCCATGTATATTCTCTTGGACCCCCAAAGGTATCAAAATGCACATCCATGGTACCCCATGGTCAGGCACTGATGAGGAAAGAAACGAACGTGCATTCGTCCTTTCCAAAGGATGAGAAGATGTAACTCAACTGTTCTCTCAAAGCAAAACAAGTAGCCAGGGGGCCTAAGTTGTTTTCTGTAGTACTGCTGCTTACCAGCATGGCAAAGGGATAATCTTGAGATCATAAGGCTGTTGGTCCCCACCAGGGTCTTAGACAAAATGACCTGAGTGTCAATCCCTGGAGTCAGAGGTGGTCCCATCCAATGTAGGTTGCTGGTGTCTTGAACTTTTCCCCATAATCACACAGATGGTCCATAATACAGTTTATCAGTCAGAACCAACCAACCTGAAACTTGCAACTTTATATGAATTTTAAGGGATTTTTTTTTTTTAACAGAAAGAGAAAAGCAATGGTTAGGTGGCATGCTCAGGTCCACAAATCTAATAGCAGATAGAAGCAAATTTCTCCCACTTGATAAAGAACCTCTAAAAAGAAGCTAAAGGTAAAATCATACATCATTTTGATATCTAGATGCTTTCCCACTAAAATCAGGAACAAGGTAAGGATGCCTCCTCTCACCACTGCTATTCATCGTCATCCTAGATGTCCTCACTAATGGAATAAAACAAGAAAAGTAAATAGAAGGTATTGAGACTGGGAGGGAAGAAATAAAACTGTACTTGTCTGCAGGTGACACTATTTCTATGTAGAAAATCGCAAAGAATTGGCTGGGTAGGGTGGCTCACACCTGTAATTCCAGCACTTTGGGAGGCTGAGGCGAATGATCACCTGAGGTCGGGAGTTTGAGACCAGCCTGACCAACATGGACAAACCTTGTCTCTGCTAAAAATACAAAATTAGCCAGATGTGGTGGTGCATGCCTGTAATCCCAGCTATTTGGGACGCTGAGGCAGGTGAACCGCTTGAACCCAGGAGGCAGAGGTTGGGGAGAGCTGAGATTGTGTCATTGCACTCCAGCCTGGGCAACAAGAGCAAAATCTGTCTCAAAAAAAAAGAAAAGAAAAGAAAATCCCGAAGAATTGACCTAAAAAAACAAAACAAAAAACAAAACACTCCTGCAACTAATAAACAATCAGAGGAATCTCAATATAACAGGGAAATTTGGAAACAACAATTGTTTTCCTACATACCAGCAATGCACAATTGGAATTTGAAAACTCTGAGGAGTCTCTGGCCCCATGATATTGTACAAAAATACATCCTTGGTGTAAAAGCACCAAGGATGGGGGGAAAAAGAAATACTTTGCTATAAATCTAACAAGTTATGTACATGATTATATGAGGGAAGCTACAAAAGTCTGATGAAAAATATCAAATAAGGCCCAAATAAGTAGAGCTGGGCACAGTGACTCATACCTGTAATCCCAACACTTTGGGAGGCTGAGGTGAGAGAATCACTTGAGCCCAGGAGTTGGAGACCAGCCTGGGCAATGTAGTGGGATCTCATCTCTACCAAAATTTTTAAGGTTAGCCAGACCTGGTGGTGCAGACCTGTAGTCTCAGGTACTCAGAAGGCTGAGGTGGGAGGATTGCTTGAGCCAAGGAATTCAAGGCTGCATTGAGTCATGATAACACCAGTGCATTCCAGCTTGGGTGACAGAGTGAGTGAGAGCCTGTCTCCAAAAAAAAAAAAAAAAAGATTCAAATAAGTGGAGGCATATTTATATTCACGGATAGTAAGATTTGACATTGATAAGATGACAGTTGTCTCTAATCCATAGTTAATCATTTTGTACATATCAGTACATTGATTCTAAGTTTATATGGTAAAACCCAGAATAGTCAACACAATATTGTAGAGGAAAACAGAGGATTGACACTGACCATAACATTAACTACAGAAACACAGTAATAAAAACAATGACCATGTGCG